CTCGGTGATAGCTCGGCGGCCGTGCACCGCCCATACTGGTGTCTCTATTCTCATGTTGTGATTGCGAACCCACGCCAAGGATTTAAAGGGCATTTATTGTTTTCCCAGAGTTTTTAAATTTAAGATCGTGGATTCAATTTAGGAATTTCAATTAAAAGGGATTTGTTATTATTTTTGTTTATATAGTAAATAAGTTAGGTAGGCCTAGGGGGGAGGGAGGGTGGTGGGGGGGGGGGGGGGGGTAAGAGGACATTTTTTTTTTTTTTTGGTCTAAAAATAATCGTAACGACTCGGCCAACCGCTGAATAAGCGGGGGGGGGGGGGGGATAAGAGGGCACTTTTTTTTGGGGGGGGGGGGTCAAGAATTTTTTAAATTTTCTCCGTTGGGGGGGGGGGGGTTTCAGTACATTTTGGGGGAATTTAGGGCTGATTTTAACATATTTTTTGGGCCGGGGGGGGGGTACGTGCCCCCTGTGCCCCCCCCCCCTGGATCCGCCACTGCCATACTTTCTATTGATGTGCCAAAATTCATTTCCCTACCATTAACGGTTTTCAATTTAGGCAGACTTGAAAACAAAAAAAAGCTTAAGGGTGCTTTAAAATATGAAGTTTTAAGAGTTTAGAGCCTTTTTCAAATGCCATTTAAAATTAATTTAAATGGATTTGATGGTCCAAACTTACAGAAATGATTAAGCGATATACAAACCCCAGATATGCCGAAATTCAGCCCCACTTCATAGACACTCTTAAATCTAGCCATGTTTCAAAACCCATGAAAACTTGTTCCGGCGACGCAAAATTTTTGTCACACGCATAAAAATGGGCTTTATTTAATTATTTGAAAAATTCCACAAAAAAAAATATTTGTCTAAAGAACCTGGAAAAAAATAGGCATGTAGAAATCCATACAGAGAACAGATTTCTTGAAAAGAAAGGTGATTCATCAATTAATTACAAAATTATGTCACCTTGAAAATGGCTAATTGTCAGTTATAGCCTAATTACGCAAAATTTGACCATTTCGTCTCTTATGTAAGTGGCCGTATTTTCAAAAGTACTTATTAAAATTTGACAAAATTTGTCAAATTTGAATAAGTACTTTTGAAAATACGGCCATTTAATACCTCATTTAATGAGGTATCAAAACTCCTCTTTCCATGTGCTCTAAATTGAAATTGGCAGGGGAAATGAAAATGTAGATACTTTCAAACTTTAGCTGTGATACCTACAGTAATGTTTTGTCAAACTGCTTTATCACTAAAAGGGCTGAGGGCCGTAACATAATGTTCGCAGATTTTTTTTTTTTCTTCCCGCCATGAGCTTTCATGACCTTATCGCCTAGATGCTCACACTTTTCTTATATCAAGTTTATGAAATTTTGACCAACGGGTATCGAGTAGCGTCAAAAGGAGGAGGGTGGAATCCTCCCACCCCTCTCGGCTGAGAATGGACCAAAATAAAACAAACGAGAGAAATAAACATATCACAACAATAAAACATTAACATAACTACATCATACCTAAATATAGTTCACTCTAATAAACACATAATGCATTAATCGATAGGTATCTAACATGATTAACATGCGAACGACTTCAATTTCTCTGTATTGTTGAATGAGGGCAAATATAAATTGCTAAATCAATCAACATTAAGTTAAACAATATATTGGGAATGAAAATGTAGGTTAATTAAACATAAAATTGTAGGGAACGACTTTTGCGGTAGATAGAGAAATAGTGTTGCTGCGCATAGATGGCGTTTGCCAGTAACGTCTTCATACTAAATCGAGTTATCGTGGAACCTTTGAGGAGGGGGGGGGGGGGGGACAATCGGAAGATGGGGGAAAAGTCATGAATACATCGATTTTTTAATGTTTGTCAGTCGAAGTTTATAATAATGATATAATAATAATAATAATAATGGGTTCCTGTAAATCAGGGGCGGCCGAGCGACTTCCAAAATGGGGGGGGGGGGGGGGGGGGGAACCAAGAAAAATGGGCACCTTCAAAGGAAAATCTCAAAGCGGAAAAATACACCCCTATATTGTGATTACTTTATCAGGGATGGTTTCAATATTTGTTTCACTTTATACACCATAAAAGATATTGCTTAAGCATCATGCTTTGCAGCTGGGTGTGATGGTCTGAAAAATTATTTGCGAGTGAGTGAAGCGAGCAAGGAAAAATTGTGATATTTGTGAGATCACAGTGCGAAAAAGTACATCTTATAAAAAAAGAAAAAATCCAATCCTGATGGGGTTATAAGCACATTCTCATACTGGAAGGCTGGAAAGACTTTTGATAAGTAACATAAGTATATCATCCATAGATGCGTGCGAGCGTAGCGAGCGAGCTTCAGGAGAAATTGCTCTTGGTCGCTTGAAATTTGGGGCGCGTTTAATGATGAGAGGAAAAGGGGACACTTATCAGAAAAGAAAAGGAGCATGTGTCAAAGTACGAAGAGTAGTTTTCAGAGGTGAAAATGGGACACTTCTTACACCTGAAAAGGGGCAATGACCAGATATGAAAAGGGGCAGTTATGTGAATGAAAAAGGGGCACTTATGCATAATAAAGGGAAATGGGCATTAGTTGAAAGAAAATAGGCACCGATCAGATGTTAAAGGGGCATTTATCAGAGGTTAAGGGGCACTTATCTGAAGTAAAAAGAAGTAACTTCTCGTATCTGAAAAGGGTCATATACCAGAGAAGGGGCACTTATGAGAAGGGGAAGGGGCTCTCTTTTAATGGGGAACTTATCGTTAGGAAAAGGGGCACTTATTAGAAAGGAAAAGGGACACATGTGAAAATATATAAGGTGCGCTTATCCGAGTTAAAATAGAGGTAGATATTAAAAGGGGAAGAGGCACTCATTACAAAGGAAAAGGGGCACTTGTCAAAGTAAAAGAGGCACCTCTCAGATTTGAATAGGGCAATTATTAGAGATGAAGGGGGCACTAATCAAAAGTGAAAAAAGGCACTGCTCGTACCTATAAAGGGGCACTTACTAGAGATTAAAAAGGGCACTTATGAGAATGGAAAATGGACACTTATTGCAACGGAAAAGGGGAACTTGTCAAAGGAAAAGGGGCACGTGTCCAATTTAAAGGGGCACTTATCAGAATTGAAAAGGGGAAGAGGCACTTTTACAAATTAATAGGGGCACTTGTCAAAGTAAAAGGGGCACTTCTTACAAAGTTAAAGGGGAACTTTTCCTATGTGCCCCCCCCCTGCCCCCGGGAGGGCCGCCTCTGCTGTAAAGTGATTATATGTTTGTCAAACTTGATACTCCTGTCGCTCTACTGCTATGATAGTTTTTTATTCGGGTGTCAATTCAGTGGAAGGGGCAGCTAGCTAGGGAGGGGCTCCCAGTGTCCCCCGCGCCAAAGGCAATTGTCTCGCTAGGCAAGCCTTCTTAGTGAAAAAATGAAATACTGCACGGTGGATCTCTTCAAATTGGGGGTAAAGAGCACTATTTTTTTTTCCTTCCCAAATTCATGAGAATGTTTTTTTAGCGGCGAATCAGCCAGCGGGCAAATAAGCGCCCCCCCCCCCCCCCCCCCTCCCGAGGATCAGCGCCTGGGACCACCTAAAGCCCCCTCCCCTTCTTAGGCCTACGGGAAAAACCGTTGTGATTTCTATTTGGGATGCCATCTAATATCGCTCCCGATATGATCTCCGCGGAGAAGCCCCTCCAAGCTCACACAATTAACCTTGCACCACCCACTCCCCAACTTAAATCACGTGATTGCAGGCAAAATGTCAGGTGATCAAATCTTGTCCTGTCGCCGTGGCTGTCTGCATATATATGCAGGGAGGTAGGCTTCAACTATTTGCCTAAAATTATATTTTCGTTGATTTTTTTGTTTTACACGTTTAGGGCAATATATTCTCGAACGTGTATAGAATAATATGCAACAAAGGAAATGCCTGCACCTGATTTGTTTACATGTATTAAAGTTATAACTAAACTCTAAATCGTCGCTCGTCGTGCAGATTCTAGGTAGGAATCTATCGCACGACGTTCGTTCTTCTCCCCGCAGCAGGCCGTGGGTACTGGGTGCTCTCGTAGACCTAGAGAGAGATGGTTATCTGACTTGAGAGCGCGATCAAGGAAGAGTAGCTTGATTATCATGATGAAGAAGATGATGTTGATGATGATGAAGAAGATGATGTTAATGGTGACGCTCATTTTTAGTAATGATATTTGTTTGTTTTGTTTAATATTTGTTTATTAATATTAGGCCTAGTTCTAGTCATTTTTGTTTGTTACAATGCTTAGAGACTTCGATGCAACTTGCAGGTAAGCGCTTTATAAGAATAAGCAACTTCTTTATTCATCATCATCGTCTATACGGGAGTGTAGGATATCCTGTAGGTCTCCCAGTCAGATCACTTGGTACATTACTCATCAGTAGGTCTTTAAATCAGTGCATTCAGAAATGATTAATAAAAGTACAAAGATAATTGAGCTGAGATAAATCCCATCACACAGGAAACTTAAGGGGTTGATTATGTAGGTTTTTAACAGATAGAGCCAATTTTACTTGACCCTGCCCTAATTGACCTTGATGGGCAGGAACATTTTATTTATACAGTTGTTCAACTGCAATTTAATTTTCATTTTATTACCCCAACGATCCTTTCGCCCTTAAAAACATTGATTTTTTAAAAATTTGTTAATATCACTTTTGGTCCCCAATCGTCCATAGTCTTCACAGAATTTTGTTTATTGAGGACATCATAATTTTTGTTAATTTTGTCCTTCTCTCAATCTCTCTCAAAACCAATAAGCAATAAGATTAACAGTTCTTATTGTTATTACCTCTTTTTAATAGGCTTTTATAGATTTATGGGGAGTTTAATTTTTGTTTGAGTTTTATGCAAAGAATCTAAAAAAAATTAATGAAAAATAATTGCCACCTTTTAAACTGTGAAACTGAAGCTCTCGTTGCAATGTTGTATCCTCTTGTTTATATTTTTTTAATTCTAAGCTTTGACACCAGGAAAGAAGGGAACAGCACTTGCGGTAACCCACTGCCCACCAGAAACGTGTGGCTCCTGTACTAAAGCCTATGGCAACGAGAGAATTCATTACTTAATGGGTTAAAGTCAACCTTTATCATCATAATCATCATTAGCGTCGGAACGGTATCGCCTCCCTGTTTAGCTTTCCAGTATCGCCATGTCTTGTGTACAGGACCAGAACCTAACCTCTTCACTAAAAAGGTATTCTTTAATATGCTTCATTTTTTCAGGGGTACCGGTCTTTAAGCTATAAATCATTTTCGTGATGTATTCAAATTTATACCAGCTTCTACATTTCCTGTTATATATCACTGTATTTCAATAGTCAAAATGCCAATTGCATACATTATTCATTAATTGTTACCAAGTTGTACAGATATTATGGCTTGCCCTACCTAACAACAGGTAATGTATGCAATTTACATTTTGTAAGAGGTCAATGAAATAATTTGTTTTACAACATGGATCATGCTATTTGGTTAACTAACTTGGACAGGGGTAGGCTTTTGATGTCATTTGTCACCTGTCATGGTTTATATCACAATAAAGGTACAGCCGTACAGGGTTGAAATCCATGCCTCGGCACTCAAATCTTCGGCAAGACATTAATCTACATTTGCCACTCTTCACCCAGGTGAATTAAATAGGTGGGTACCCGGTAGGAAGAAAGTCATTGAATGCCTGATCACCTAATCAGGATACATGTACATCGGCTAAACTGGGCTTCAAAATATTGATATTGACAATTGCAGGGATTAAAGTATAATGTTTTACAAAAACGCTTTTTATTTTTGTATTCAAGGAAAGCTCCACAAGCTGAAGTACATCATGGAAAAGTCATTAGAGAAGATGAAACACACACTCGACAATACACAGCAGATGGAAACGTTACTACAGAACAGTAAGTCATTATTTATTATACTCTATTTTTAATTGTATTTCTGGGTCACAAAAGGAATTTGCAGTGGCTGTCATAGTAGTTTATCTTCTGATACATTAGCAAAATCTATCGTAACAAAGGCTTGGGCAGAGCAATTTTTATGCCTCAGTTACGAAGTAGCCCAGTTGTCTTCGGGTTGTCCGTCTGTCCGTCCGTACGTACGTCCCGTTCTCGTGATCGCATTATCTTAAAAACCGATCAATGGATTTCTGCCAAACTTTGGTCATGTATGTATCTTGCAGAGCCGATGAATTGATCAGATTTTGGGGTCACAAGGTCAAAGGTCAAAGGTCACAGGGCTCATTATGTATGCAAAAACAACCTGTGATCACGTTATCTGAAGAACTGATCGATGGATTCCTGCCAAACTTATATCATGTATGTATCTTGCAGAGCCGATTAATTGATTAGATTTTGGGGTCACGAGGTCAAAGGTCACAGGGCTCATTATGTATGCAAAAATACTTTATGATTGCATTTTCATTAGAACAGATTGATGGATTCCTGACAAACTTAGGTCATGTATGTATCTTGCAGAGCCAATTAACTGAGTAGATTTGGGGGTCATGGGGCTCATTATGTACAGTATACAAAAATAGCTTGTGAACGCATTCTCATTAGAACTGACAGATGGATTACTATCAAACTGAGGACATGTACATTGTATGTATCTTCCAGGGCCAATGAACTGATTAGATTTTAGGGTAATGAGGTCAAAGATCAAAGGGTCATACATGTATCTGACAAAAAGCTTGTAATCACGATATTTTGAGAACCTGTTAAGGGTTTACAATCGAAGTTGAATTTTAAAAATTGCTTCTGTTTTGGTTGGTGAAATTGCTCTATGGCTGAGGCATCATTTTTCACTGCGTGCAGTCGAAGTTTCATCTAGTTTTAATTGGCTTTCAGAGTCTGTCTCTTTGATGTAAATCATAATTTGTGTGAAAATATTTGTATTTTACAATAAAACAAAGATTTTTTTAAAAGTTTTATTGAAGATTAAAATGGTGTACTCCCAGTACAATCTCTTAGGGAGGGAACTATTTGGAACTCCATGAAATGACTGATCAATTTTCACCGTAGCAAATGTCAGATCAGTAATAATATAGTCCGGCAGCCAAATGCAGATTATTGGCCTAACCTTGTTTTAGGGTCTATAGTTTTTTTTTCAATGGATTTTGATTGCCTAGACCTTCTATTTCAAGAATCCGATTGCTGACACTCTGTCAGCCTTGAGCAATTTAAGATATATGACGTCATACAAAATGGCCGCCAAAGTACATGATTTTCCTTTAAAAATGAATAATAAATATATAATAAGGATTTTTTCTACAATTTTTGGCAGCCAAATGTCTGTATCTCTCTAGGACCATCACTAACAAAATGTTTTGTGATGTTGCATGGCCATAGATGACCAGCTTATTTGCATATTTTGAAATAGCGCCCTCTATAAACATATTAATTTGAATAAAATATATGTGCCAGCCAAATGCCAATTTCTTAAATCTATGTCACGTTGAAATCATATTAAATGCTTTTTGGGGGCAACAATTGCAGTTGTGCTGCATAATCTTTCATCGTGTTTGGTACAAATTTAGATAGGGTAGGTGTGGGGAATGGAAGACCCTTAAGCACATTTGCATAATTTACATAAACATGAACAATGTTACACATACAGACATTTTTGTATTCCCTTTAGTATTTTTTCTCTTTATTTTGTAACGAAATTGTTGTCATGATGTAACTGATTAATAAGATAACAATGATTAATGACGTCATCACCCAAGGTCTCTCATTACCTACATGTGTAGGTAATAAGGGACAGTTACAAATCAAGACATTTTAAATACAATTTGAATGAAAATGGGATTGTTATAGTTAGTTCAAACATTTTTTGAAAGAGATATATGGAGCCAATGAACTTACTGAAATTTTGAAACGATTTTAAAACAATGTGGCCCAAAATATTTCTGTAGTTTTTGTTTACAGTAATAAAGGTGTTCTAAATTATGTTAAAATACTTTCAGAATAATGTTCTGGCAATATGACTTTTACATTGATCAAACTCACAGCAAAGAAACAACTTCTTAAAATTGAATGCATTCAAATTAGAATGGTGACACGTACGACCAAATATGTTTCATGATAGTGCCTTTCAACATGAAATGGACAACTGGGGAGAAGTAGGCCCCCATCTTGGACCTGGTGTCCCCAATTACCTACACACATTTCTGATCAGACACCATTCATTATGTGAATTGCAACACCCATTCACAACATACAATGGCCATAAGCTTTCTGTGATGGTTGGCACATTTCATAAACTTCCTTTTAAAACTAATTTTTAAGAGCCACCCCTAAATATCTGCATACACCACAAAATTCAGTGAAAATTGTGTTTTTATATCAGAGCAAATTTTTACGATCAAAATTGCTAATATCTTGGTCAATCTTGCCAATTTTCTCGGAGAGAGAACGCATTGTAGTCTTCGAAATGAATTGGATATATGCAGAAGTGTTGTTTAAGGCCACATATGTCGCTATATCAATATTGGAGCCAACACGGACAGACAGTGATGGGTTCAAGCCTGGTGGTCTCCAATTCCCTACACCTACCCTACATATGTCAAGAAAAAAAAATGGCTAAGAAAGAATTCATTTTTCATCAAATCGGTGAGAAGTGGTTTTACGGCACACATTATTATTCAATTGATAGGCTTTATTTAGACCAGCATTGCTCCAACGTCAGTGAATGTGGATAAAGCAGTTGACATCTATACTAGACAGATGCATGAATTTCAAAAGATATTACCTGGTGGATTCTATGACACAATTTCCAAGAAAGTTCAAACCATGGCTGCCATGAAGAAGTCAATGTTGGGATACGAAAATCTATGAAAAGTTGATCTACTCCAGAGTAATAGGACTGCAGACAAGTTCAAGAGAGGTGAATATCAAGGACATTTTGTCATAAGAGCTTTCACCAGTCCCAACAGCACTTTTTGATGATTCTGGAAACGAGCACTCCCATGTCAAAGACGGACTTATAGAATTTGACAAAAGTTGAGATGTCAGCCAGGCATGAGACACTGGAACAACCTTGTACAGTCATTGATGGTTGTGCTCTGCTGTGGATGAAAATCTGATGATTTTTGCTTGGTGTTTGACAGATCCGAGAGTATCTAGAGGTCATAACGGGTCGAGAGTCTTCCAACTGAGTCCCGCGTCACTGCTGCCCTCCAAGAAACTATCTCTTACTATTCGTCGTCGTCGTCGTTGTCATATAGATCATGGCTCACCATTGTGACCCGTTTGATGAGACCTTTTGATCGGCATCTGTCTCCTGCAATCCGGTAGAGTGTCTTTAGTATTTAGAGGGTGGCTAGTGATTTCCCGAACGTCGTCAGTCCATCTGAGCTTGAGTCTTCCTTTGTTACGTGTTCCTTCAAAGGTACCTTGAATGATAATTTGTCAAGGTTGTCTCCTGATCTTCTGCTAACGTGACCAAACTATTGTAGCTTGTACCGTCAATCCTGGTAGCAAGTGGCGGTTGATCTCTGATGATGGACATTAATTGTGTCCATTGGTGTAGTAATCTCTTCATGATATCCCAAGTAGCTTCCTCCAACACCACATTTCAAAGGCAGATATTGCCGAGCTTCCACCCTCCTTGACAATCATTGACCCAAGAACATTATATAAACTTGTCCACTTGATCAACTTCTTCTCCATCAACCACCATGCTCTGTTGCATGTAGTTAATTTCCACCAATCATGATCTAGGTCTTTTTCCCATTGAGGTAGGGTCCAAATTATTCACTTGCATCCTTCACTCTTTTTTAAAGAGTTCTAGTAGTTCTTCTGATGTTCTTGTTATAAGTGTTGTCAGTGGCATACTGAGCAAAAACACTTAGAGGGGCAGAAAAACAATCTGCATCACCACCACTCATACATGTTACATGCAGGCCCCGCAGAACTTTTTTAAAATCGGGGTGGGGGGGGGGGGTGAAGTATTTACGATCAGGAAGAGAGGAGCGCAAATTGGCGTGGTGTTCAAGGGGCACAGCCCCTGGAAGCTCAAGGGTTTCAGGCATTTATTAACTGTAAGATGAACATATTTTGATACCTCATTTCACCTCGGGTCACTTTCTTTCTTTCTTTCTAGTTCTCTTCAACATACTTTATACAAAAAGTGAGGGGGCTCGAGTCCCCTGAGCCCCGCTGCTCTGCGGACCCTGACATGAAGGCTTTTAAATAAGCATATTTTTTGCTTGACTGTGAATTTAGGATTTGTCATTTTCCAACATACGCTTAACAAATAATAATTTACTAAAAAGTGAGAAAAAACCCAGGAAAATCATGTCATTTCAGCAACATTTGTAAATCACTGGTATCGAATATATAGAAAAAACAGTTTGAATTTTTTTTGGGGGTTTAACTGTCCCCAACCCCCCCCCCCCCAACCCTTCCCCATCAATACGCCAGAGAGTGTTGTATTGTCGGCGTATCTTAGGTTGGTGATCGTTCGTCCACCAACAGAAACTTGACCATAAAATGCCTTTCTCATAATGAATACAGCATAGATGGTGATAGGATGCAGCCTTGACGGACAAGTTGACCAATAGTGAACCTTTCGGTGTAGCCATTCTCTGTTCTTACTGTTGCTTCTAGGTATTGGTAGAGCGACTGGATGAGTTGAATTATATATGCTGGAAAGCCCATCCAGCTCATAATCTTCCATAGGCGTTTATGTTGTACGCAGTCAAAAGCTTTGGAAAGATCAATAAAGCTAGGGAGAGAAGTTGTTGAAACGTGTCTCTAGTGTTGCTAACTTCACTATCTTTTCATGACAACAAACTACAGTTGATCGACATCGTAATTATATGCGCGAGTCTGCAGGATGATTGGGTGCTCAGAAATAGGCAAAAGCACAAGCAGGCCTTTACCGTCAAGATGAGGTTCCTGTTGAAGTGATTCCAGGCAGTGATGTCATGGCAAGGAAAGGTCTGTCCACAACATAGTTATGATGAAGCAGGCAACATCGAAGTACAGCAGGCGATTTGAATTGATGCTAATGAGAAGATGTATGTTAGGGTCCTAGTGGATGACACAGACGTCTACGTACTACTTTTACATCGATCATTATCTACATGACGGACTTATAAAACGCCAATGACCATGGAGACGCCCCTTCACAAATTGAACTGTTATTGATGTTCCTGCTAATGTAGACAAGTTAGGAGATATCATTCCATCGATGTTGGCAGGACATGCGTTGACGGGATGCGACACTCTTGGGGCATACTTTGGCATTGGATAGGGTACAATGCTGAAAGTGATGAAGCAGAAGATTCGACTCCCTTAGGACTCAGTTGGCAATGTTGATGCAGCATGGTCATATGTCATCACTCAACCTACTCAATGCTTTGCTTCATGTTATGGACAGTCAACAACCAACTGAATGTCAGAGGCTCGTATCAACGTGTGGCTATCAAGGGTCCGAAGACTAGGAGCTCCAAATACCCCCAAACCTTGCCTCACTACCTCAAACTACCTCAAGCTTTTGTAGAAAATGTTACTAAAAGAGAGCTCATTTGCAAACATGCGTGTGGAAGCACGCATTACAGTCACGACCTCACTTTGCAGAATTAAGTGTTAAATGACACCCTCTTCCGCATGGAATATTTTAGGGCTCCCAACACTTTAGAGGGCTTTTAAACAAATTTCAAGATTTTGAAGCAAACTTATAAACGGATATAGTCCTGTATCGTATCGGTAGTTCGTAATTTGTAGGTTAATTTAAAAGAATCTAGTACCTTAGAATACAAATCTAGTTTCTTAACGCTGTCACTGAAAATGGGCATTTATAACCATATGCCACCTCATATCTATGGGACAGAGAACATAAAATTCAACCATGTTTTCTTCGAGTATAAAATTACAAAATAAAAATAAATGTGCAGCACAATTTTTACTCACTGTATCCAGTGCATCTGACTCATGACATATGATAATCTCATGTTAGAAATTGGTATTTGGCCATCATTTTGAACTATTCAAGTTAATGTGTCTATAGAGGGCGCCATTCCGAATTATGCAAATTTGCATATCATTTGTGATCATACAGCATCGCAATTTTTATTTAGTGATGATTCTAGAAAAAAATTAAGATATTTGACTGCCATTTAATGTAGTAAAATGCTGTTAAAACTTTTTATATCATTAATTTTGGTTAAAAAGGGGATTTTGGCGGCCATTTTGTATGACGTCACATATCTCAAATTGCTCAATGCTGACAGAGTGTCAGCAATCGAATTCTTCAAATTGATGGTCTAAGGAACTATAATCCGAAGAAAAAAAAACTATAGACCCTAAAACAAGGTATATCGAGATGGCTGCCGGACTAATAGCCCTTATACTCTATTTTGTCTTTGACATTTCATTTGTAGAATCTACTTGGACTGCAATGCAACTACGCCGGTCGAGCCTGTAATTATCAAGTACATTTCAACATGTAAAAGAACAGTAAAATTCAGCTCCTGCTTCACATTTCTTTTTCTTACATCTAGTTAAAGACCATCAATACTACTGGGCCAGAAGGGATTAGACCACACAGCAAGGTCACTGACAGGTGGCTATCTCATTAACTCAGCTCTCAACTAACATGAGAAAAAGGGGATCATGGGGGACCAACAGGCACCGATTGGGGAAGTTTTCTATAAAGAGGGAGCAAGTAGCTACAAGTAGGACAATGGGGCTTTAAAAATACATATAGCCTACTTTCTGTACGTTCATATAGCAGAACTGATTTATCTTTGATGTTGTAGGATCTACTTGGACTACAATGCAACCACACCGGTTGAGCCTGCGGTCGTTGACGTCATCTCAAGGACCTTGTCTGAAGCGTGGGGAAATCCAAGCAGCCCCTACCCTCAAGGTTTGCAGATGGAAAAAATCTTGTATCTAATTTCAATGCTGTTTATAACGCTGAAGGAAATACTAGTTATTTTGTTGGTTTTCTCAATTTTGTTGACTATTTTTTTGTCATGACCTTCTAGTGTGACATTATATTTTCATATTGTGATGTTTTAGTTGCTTGTTGAAATGAGGAACCCTAAACAATAACACAAGAAACGGTGATTTTAAGTGCCTTAACTCTGTCAGGCTGTATGGTTTATTCACTCATATTAGAAGGGTCTCCAGCACCCTCTTGCATTATAAACTGTATAGTCTCAATTAGATCACATAAACAGAAGATTGTTACACATAGGATGATAAAGGGCTTCAAGATTTAAACAAATTGTTTCCAGTGTGAAACTTACAGGTGTTAAATGCATCTTCATGTGTGCAAATGGTGACTGGAAATGAGTAATTTTACATAGCCTTTGAGTTGCATAAAGCAATCCTTCTGTCAAGTGGTGGCCTTTTTGGGGGTGTCGATCAGCATTTGTGCAAAACGTTCCACTGTCCAATTGGCACCAGAGGAAAATGAAATATTAATTGATAATATAAGCTGAGGGGTGTATATGGGTTATTAACCAGTGATACTGATTTGATAATATGGGTTGAATAATGTAAAGAATATTAAGGTATTACAATGGGAATGATGTCATTTTTGTATTTTTATAAAAAGAATAAAAGAATAACAGCGGTAACTAATTATTTTGGCATAAATTGGCAGTGACTGCGTTCCATTTTGAAAAGGAGCCGAGAAACCGAGTTTGTAGGAATTTTTTTTACATTTCTCGTTTTCAGAATCCAAAATAATCATGAAGCACCTTGTTAGCATGAGATTAATAAACAGTTAATGTGTACTGTATGATGGTATATCTCTATGATTTCTTCTGAAAGTAAGACAAAAAGTCCAGGCATAGTTATTTGTAAAGGTTTTTTGAAAACATACATCTAGGTTTCCATTCGTGAGAGTTATTTACGGAATTTCTTGTACTTCTTGCTATTTTGTAAACCATGTTTCAATCATTGGATAAAACCATGTTGCAGGTCAGCTAGCCAAGCAGCTGATCAACAAAGCCAGGTCTCAGGTCGCTGCAATGATAGGAGCTTCCCCCCATGAAATCATCTTCATGTCAGGTGGTACAGAGGTATGTCAATATGTTTCTTAAAATTGAAAGGGGCATCTGGGCAACATTTTTTCTCAACTGACTGCACTCATGATGTATGATTTTTCTTTTATGTTTGGAGTGTGACAATTGTAGATTAATGTCTTTTCCAAAGGACATTAGTGTTGCGATAGGGATGAGAACCTGTTCCTTGTGGTTTACAGTCTGAAGACTTATCAATAGGACCTGTACAGGACAATTTAAAAAAAGAAGCTAATTAAAAACTGTGATTGCAGTTGTGTTTGGGCGTTAACAAAAAAGTTGTTGTATTGCCCTTTGCGACCGACCCACAAATCTTGAAATCTACTTTTAATACAACATCTTTTTGTTTTAGGCCTAGTTGTAATGAACTTGGTCACACTTTATTAAGGCACATGGGTAAAGCTATTCACCCCTGATAAAGCTGGTTGAGCTTAGGAGAATTTCACTTGAGATTGATAATATATTCCTTTTTTTATTCTCCTTTTTTGAACGTGGCTCCACAGGCAAACAATCTGGTAATCCACACGGCCATAGAGCATTTCAAGAACTCATTGAGAACATCATCATCTGAGCATCCAGGCAAGCCACACATCATCACATCAAACCTTGAACATGACTCTATCAAACTACCTCTGGAGCATCTAGTGAATCAGGGAATCGGTAAGATGCCATTACCCTAAGAAGATATGGGAAATTCCATGAATTAGGGACCCACTTTGTGACATTTTTGGTGTCCCACTTACATAAGGAACCCACACGTATGTGTGGCTCTGAGTACAGACTTAATAGTGGAGTGAGATTGTAAAGTAATTTCCAAGCATAATATTGCATCCTCATACCTAGAATCACTTAACAATCTCACTCCACTATTTAAGTCTTTACTCAGAGCTACAAAAACGTGTGGGTTCCTTATGTAACTGGGACACCAAAACTGTCACAAAGTGGGTCCCTAATTTATGGAATCACCCATATCCATTACGGTTAGCTAACTCCAAACTGTGTGCAATTACCAATTAATATGTCAATAGATCTTGCACAAAATCAAACTCGAGGCCCACTGGAAATGATTTTGAACTTGCTGTGACAGATTGGGAAGTATTCAGTAATGGTTTGGGCATGGAATTTTGTATAATGATGAATTTCCTATTTAGAACAGGGCTTTTCCTCTGAAATTGATGGAGAGTGTGCACAAGTGGGGTCCATATCTCGGTGAAGAATAACATCTTTTAGGGTTAATACCCAAACAGTGTCAAGTTCCCCATGACTACCCCAAATACATATTTTTTACATGAACAATTGCAATAGTAAACACATTTAAATACCATGAGTTAATCCCTAAAAAAACAAGACCAGTGTTTTAAACTGCACTGCCTTTTCCTCAGTTTTATCTTACTCTTTTTAATGCAACCTTTCTTAAAATTGTGATGATTGTTAAATGTTATGTTTAAATGTAATTATTTTGTCTGTATTTATATATTTATATTTGTATGTACATGTATAGCACCTTTGAATGTCCGAAGGCACATTTTATGTACTTTTTACACGACAATAAATTATCTTGAATCTTGAATTGAATCTTGAATCTTAGCAATCTGCCTCACGTTCATTGCTAGTCATGTTTCTCTTTATACAGCTGATGTGACCTTTGTACCAGCATCTGTAGAAACAGGGAGAGTCGAGGCTGATTCCATCGTGAAAGCCATTCAACCAACAACATGCCTTGTCACCATCATGCATGCAAACAATGAAACAGGAGTCATACAGGTAAATTTAACTTTTAATGATTTTTTATTCATTGATATATAGAGTATAGAATATTTTCTGTGGTTAAATGGTAAGATGATAGTAATATTCTGTTTTTTTTATATCGCATTTCACATTATAATAACAATAATAATAGCCTAATAGTCCACTCCAAATTTTCATTAAACCGAAACAGAAATTCTTTTTGCCCAATCGATCGTGAGCCCGGCAGCCACGTCTCTATGCACTTTCAAAAGACTGTGGATATTTTTATCCCAGCTTTAACTTTGGCAATCATAGCGCTCAACTCACTCAAGGAATAAATCCTACCAGGTACCCATTTACTACACCTGTGTCAAGTGTGTCTTAACAAAGGATATTAGTGTTGCGCCAGGGATTTGAACCCCGTTCCTTGTGGTTCACAGTCCAGAGACTTATCCATTAGACCACAACACCTCTAGTAAGATGTGATATTTGTTTGTTCACGTTCAGGCAAAGCACCAAAGTCTTTTGAAAATCCATCTCCATTTGCCACTCAAAAATGAGTAGAGAAATAGGAAATCGCGAAGGAAGATGAAAACCTTTGTAATGGCGTTTTTGGTCTTTTGCCTTTACCAGGGAACTTTCCGAAATAAAACACTTTCCTGTTTTTAATGTGAACATAATTGTAGGAGACTCCCAGGGAGTTGAGACACATTGTGTGTATACCGGTAAAAATCTGATGAGTGGTGTAATGATATACATGTGTATCTAAATCATAAAGCATCCCGTGATTTTATTTCATACTAATCGCTAATCCAGATTTCTTTTTCTGATTCTATCTTTCAGCCAGTTGAAGAGATCTTTCGTAGGTTGAAAGGAATATCCCATGATCCTTCCCAAGTTGTACCCAGAATCCTCCTGCACACCGACGCCGCTCAGACGATCGGGAAGATTAGGGTAGATGTTGACATTCTTAACGCAGACTATCTAACAATTGTGGGCCACAAGGTTGGTGATGATTTTCTCTTGTGTTTTGATTAAATTTTTCTCCTCATTAGTAACATTTTTTACCTCTTTGTTTACCAACAGTTAGAGTGAATAAAATTGTAAAAGTAAACATTTAAAATTTCACTTTTCATTCAATTTCATATACCGGTACATCGTATGTATCTAACATGTTCTTTACTCTTCATTTCTTTCTATATATATTTATTTCAGTTTTATGCTCCAAGGATAGGTGCCTTGTATGTCAGAGGTGGAGGAGTAACCAGTGAGAGGGGTGTACCACTGCACCCCATGCTGTTTGGAGGGGGGCAAGAAAGGAACTTAAGACCGGGGTAAGAGCACACCACAATATGTGTTTCTATTGTAGAGGTGTAAGTTGTGTTTTAGTGTTTAAGCCACCAGACTACAGATCGTAATGTTCAAGGGGAGAGAGAGGGTGCGCAAGAGAGTTTAATATCTGTGACGTGGTATGATGAAAGTAACTGAACAATAAACTATTGAATGACGTCACAATGGTATTCAATGATATTCAAAATCTTTGCGTTAAAGAGTCAAAACCCGAATTAATACAGAACAGAGGACTTAACAAAAATGGCATGAAAGAAACTCCTGTAAAGAGACTACAGAAATAAATCAAGAGAGAAAATCATAATCAAATTGATGATGTCAGTAATGTAATCTCAAGCTGAAAACCAGAAGAAGACGAAATCCTAGTAAAAAAGTAAGAGAATACCACAATATGTGTTTCTATTGTAGAGGTGTAAGTTTTGATCTAGTGTATAAGCCACAAGACTACAGGTCGTAGTGTTCAAGGCTCAAATCCATGCTGCTGCTTGGATATTCTTTGCATGGCAAGACATTCTGCACTTGCCACTCTTAAGCCAGGTGAAGAAAATGGAAAATGGTAGGAGTTGATTCCTTGAATGCTTTATTGTCTTCATGAGCTGGCCGTAATAATCAAGCTCTTTCGTAGCACATAGAGGTATTGATAAATTCATGTATGTGATATGCACTTACTGATAACAACTGAAAATTATTATCATTTTTCATAAATACGCCTTCTAATACTGTTCCCTCTAATAAAGATATTATGTTTTGGTCTTGTTGCTCTTATACATGCATCTTAACTTCACAATTTCATATTTATCCTAAGCACTTTAACCTAAAGTTTGCTTCCCTTTTCTTTACAAAATGAATGGTTACAGGACTGAGAATACGGCTATGATAGCAGGTTTAGGAAAGGTAAAATCCATCATTCTTTCATTTAAAATCTAGAATTTTAGTTTGAAATAGCAAGATTTCTCTTCTGAATTACCCTAACATTTTGATCCAACCCCATAAAAAAAATATTCTCATGGTTGTACTTGTTTTATCACAATCCTAAGCCACAAAAATATAGAAAATTAAATTCTGAACAAGTGGTGCAGACTTCTGTAACACTTTCCGACCAATGAACACAACAAGACTGGCAGATCAACAAATCATTAAAAATCATATCAGTGTAAATTGATTTATTCATACCCTTATAAACTTCTTTTTTTTTTTAAGTATGTGAAAATTTGTTTGTCCCAATTTATGTTTCTTAAGAACGTGACATATTAAAGATTATATCTAAAAGAATTCAACAATGGCCCTAATTCAACCAAGAGACCTTTCATTCTTGAGCTACGAAAAACACAAAAGACATCAGATTAACAAGGGGTATGAATTAGTTTTTTAGTTTAGTACACGTCCTTCAAAAGAAAAAGGTATCTTCCTTTGAAATGTTGTTCACTTTAACTATTTTTTTTGTGTGTGGAAAATTTGAAAAGCCTTTTGAGCCATGTGAAGATTTTCATGTTTTTATTTTGTATGCAAATTATTTAAGAAATAACGTTATGCCTTCTGGAAATAAATGCAGTCATCATTTGGAAGTTTGTTCCTAATCTGTAAGAAATGATTTTATGATTTGCATTCAGGCAGCTGAGCTTGTTACTGAGAATATAGAGCAGTATGATTCCAAGATGAGAAAAGTCCGAGATTATCTGGAAGAATTGTTGAAGGTGAGTATTAAGTTTTGGCTGTGTCATTCTGATAATGGTGTTGGGAATAAAGAGAGGTTACATTTATGCAGGTTTTGTAACTTGGCTTTCAAAACCAGGAGGCATGATGGCTCAGTGGTAGAGCAGGGGTCTCATAACTGGGAGGTTCCAGGTTCAAAACCAAGTCAATGCGCTCATGCCCTTAAGCCATCAGTCCTCCGGTTGTTACAAGCATAATACATGCTTTCTTGGCAGTCAGGTAAAACAATCATTGATCATCATCATCATCAAACTTTACTGATCCTTAGTTGAATTTTGCATTTTCTTTTCAACAAGTATCACTCGTTTTTATACCCTCTCTGTCTCCCTTTACCTGTCTCATTCCCTCCTTTTCCATCTCTTTCCTGCTTATCAACTGTTTATATTGTTTCAATATATTTTCGTGAATTTGTCTTCATATTCATTTTAATACTTGTTTTTTAAAACAAAATGTTCATATACCATGTGAATGAAGTTATGTAATACGTGTAATACCAAAAACAGATATGTACAGTTGACAACTAAATTATTTCTACACTTACCAAGTCTTGTACATATTTAAGTATGCAAAATTGATTGTCCCTATTTATGTTTCTTGTGAAAATTATTCAACAAAGGCCCTAATTCAACCAGTCCACCTTTCATTATTAAGTTACAAAAAAACACAAGAACATCATATCTACAAGGAGTATGAATAATATAGTTGTTAAACTATAATTGCTACTATAGTTCATGAACATATCATGGTAAACACAAATTGTCAACACATTACAAGCTACAATTTAAGTGTTTTTTCTCTCTGTCTCTCTGTTTAAAACTTGAACTGTATTTTGTCCTAACTCACCTTCTTTGTTTTGACCATGTTACAAATGTAGCTACTTTTTATTATGTTAGATACTATATTAAGTTAGTCATTTTAGTAGTTATAAAATTTGTATATTCTTCTTTAGTTATTCCTTTTGTATGATTATATTTCTCGTAATTCATGCTTGTACAGCGCACAGAGAAACTTTCGTTTGTTATATGCGCTTTATAAATATTGTATTATTATTATTATTATTATTATTTTACTTCAGTCTACCTTTCCAGGTCAGGTTTGTTTCAATGGGAAGCTGAAGGGAAGTGAGAGGATACCCAATACCTGCAATGTTTCTTTTCTCGGCACTAATCGTCAGGGTAAGAAGGGACTGAATAATTGCACCTATTACGGTATTAGGGAAGGGGTGTTAAGTAGGGAAGAGGTAAGATGGGGTTTTATTATTTTTAATAGAAATGCAGGTTTATATTATATACTATTTTGATTATCTCTGTTTGTAGAAAACATAGAAAGGTTCAGTAGTTAGAAGAGAAAGATGCACAAGTATAGCTATGATAGTCCTGTCTATATTGTGTGGGTAGGATGCAGGCTGATATGATGTACAGTGAGTTGTTCTTTTCAGATAACATGAATTTTCTGCATCTCTTTTTGTAGTTTTTTTCTAATACTATCCCATTTCAGTTACCACTACTTTAAATTACATTTAAAAGTAGCCATTGTCAATCAATTCCTAATAACAAGTTGCTCTACAATGTTTCAAAGGTCCTTTATCGGATGAACAGCTCAAAAATGATTAAACTAAGAATAAACACTTTTCATTGCTTTTATAAATTTGCTATTTTCATCAATGTTTACGGTTCATGCACACTATATTGATAAGTGCACATTTGTAATGATAGTCGAACAAAACAAGAGCTCATGAATAGATTTGGGCTTCTTTCTCCTGAAATATAATTGAGGTACATGTGCCAGAACTGAGATTCATAGCCATTGCCAATTTAACCCTTTCAGGATAGGATTTATTTTCAGGGCTAAACTGATCACATATTATTATTCAAATTTGCAATAATAATATTCTTTTTTCATTGCTACCAATGATAGAATAATATACAATGTCTCTGAAAACAGTGAATACAGTCGACAATGTTCAACAAATTGCCAGTTTTGATTGAACAACAACGATTTTAATCCCTTGACTTGATGCCAATTTCAGGATTTTACTTCTTATTTTCCTTTTTGAATTTGTTAGCATCAAGAGCAATATGGTCATGAAACAAAACTAGATGCATTATGTGCTGAAATGTTTGCCCTTTCTTCTCATGTTTCTGGTATATTTTAAAGGGCTCTGAATCAACAGTTATTGAGCCAATTAAACCAACAAATGTGGAATAATTGTTGCAAAAGGGTTAATTATAATTCTCACTTTGCACTTTATACAGGAAGGAAGATTTTATCCAAGGTGAAGAGACTCCAGGCCAGTGTTGGAGCTGCATGCCATTCAGATACCGGAGACAGGTAAGAATGCTCCATAGTCTAGGTAATGCACCCTGTCCCTCAGATAGGATTTTAAATGGAGGTCCTGTGTATAGGAGAATTTACTAATAATGCACGTTGAGAACCAACAGCACTGTGTGAATAGAAGTAGGCGAAAAACCCTGGTGTAGTGGCCCCCCTGCATTTGGCCATTGGTTATACTGTGAGGAGAGACCCTAGGGATATTTTTAGTTGGCGTTTCTTCTCACAGGCAATTGTTGTGAAAAATTACTTAATAATAATAGTCCATACTTCAGCCTTTGACTACCAAGATCGAGAATACTGGGTTTGAATTTACATTATTAATTCAAAGGTCCATAATGTACTGACAAACATGGCACTTGGTTTAAAACTTGGTCTATATAAAGTTGAGTAAGACAAAGGCAGTTAGACCAAGATTAAACATTTCCTTTTGTTTAACATGACTTTTAGTTTTCATGTTGAACATGTTGGTTTTTCTGCATAGAAGAATACTAGCTTGAGAATGTATCAAATCATTCAATTGTATTTCAATTCTTACATACATGTATTTCATTGTTTACTGAATGTATTATGATTTCCTGTGTCTTTAATTGCTATGAATTTCATTGTTTATTCGTTCTGTTTTTCAAGGCTTTCATTTGGATATTGAGCATCTTAAACAGAAATGTATTGAATTTTCAAAATATCATTGACAACTGATATTCATGTACATGTACGTTACTTAAAAGAAAAAATACAGTCATCACTTTGTTTTGGACAGAAAATCCATTTACCTGTTTGGGGGCTGATAGCAGGCCATACATAGGTAAGGTTATCTGACTCTGTATTGCTCTGCCTGATTTTCATAAGGTTGGTGTCAAAAGATTTGTGATATTTAAACTTTGGATAGTGATCTTCTTGTTGTTATTTGAAACTTTAGATGAATGTGGTACTTACAGCTCTTTTTTATCTACTTTTTAAAATAATTTTAGACCATCGCATATTTTGCTTGCCATTGGAGTTCCAAACGAGGTGGCCACCAATGCCTTAAGACTGAGCGTTGGACGTCACACCACTCTTGAAGATATTGATGCAGTTGTTAAGGACATCCAAGACTCTCTGGAAACATTGAAGTCAGAGGTTGACTCATAGACTTGTATCGTAGTATTCTGCTAATACCAGGAAAGGACCACCAATGCCTTGAGGTTGAGTGTTGGACGTTACACCACTCTTGAGGATATTGATGCAGTTTTCAAGAACATCAAAGACTCTCTGGAAACATTTAAGTCAGAGATCGACTCTTAGACATGCAGTTACCTATTCCACCTGCCTTTCAAGTTTAAAACAATAACAAAAAGGCTGCCACCAATGCCCCAAGGTAAAGCGTTGGATGTCACAACGTTCTCTAAAACAATGATGTGGTCATCAATGATCACTATGACTCCCTGGAACCAATGAAGTTAACATAACCATGCAGACATGATCTGAGCTTCACTGCAACCCACTGTTATAAAATTATAGGGTAAGTAGAGAGAAATACCAGACATGTAATGCCCTCTCTGCTTGTCAGGCAAATACAAGTTCAGTACATGGACCAAACAAATTTAGCACCAAAACTTCTCAGGTTCAGTGCATTGTTTCATATTTCACATATATTTAATACTTTGCAATGATTTCACAAAGTAAAAGAAATTGAGTACCTCATATCAATTTGATCTAATGCATTAAGTTAAAAGACTGAACTAAAAAGAAGAGTGAAATATGGAGGGCCTATGTTGGAAGCTATGCTTGTGACTTATAGGCCCCAAAGGGTAGTTTATTTCATATCAAATAGTCTTTAAAAATCAGTTAATATTTATCGTAGTAATATAATTTGTATACCACGAAAGGGCAATGTAAGTGTAGCATCAACTACATTAGGTTATTATCAAACAATGTCAAATGCATCCACACTCACTTTCGCGACGTCACTAATAAACAAACACAGCCCATATCTGCATTTATGTTCTTTAATTCGAGCCCTTTGCTCTTTGTTCATCAACGACCCAGAATGCTTCAGGCTCATCCCCTCCGACCAACAGCTTGACCTGGCCTTGTGGAAGCATAATTCCCTGAAGGTGTGGCCATCTTGCAATGTCCTCTTGTTTTGGGATACTCTCTTTTGAAATCGGAAGCTTGTCTACTGTCCAGACAACGTCAAAGTTGATTGTCTCCGACTCTCCTACTCCAGTTACAGCGAAGCTCACTTCGCTCCCCTTCATAGAGCAGTTATCCTGGCTGATAGTCGTTATCTTGAACTGCCTTTCCTCTCTCTCAGTTCCAGCTCTTGGGCCAGGCTTCTGTCACACAGTGACAGACCGTCTAGAATGTTTCAGGTTTCTATTTCCTTTCCATTTGCTCTAACCTTCACAGGAACGACTCAGAGGCAAACCTTTTTGGAGCCTACCATGGATAAGTTGGTTCCAGATGAGCTCTCTGTCATTACGACTTTGTCATCACCGGCCCAAGTGACGGAAGTTTCTGATCGGTTTTCTTTGTGGGTGACATGTAGGAGAGAGTGATGTTTACCAGTGCATCCACTCATTTCGTAGGCCGGTTTTCCCCTACATTCTTTTGCCAGATGTCATGGTTTGAGACAGTTGTCACACAACCTCTGTTGTCTGGCGATCCTAACCCTTTCCCGCTGCGTTTTTTCCTTGAACTGAGGGCACCTGCTCAGGTAGTGTTCCCCTTCACAGAATGGGCATTTGGGCTTTTAAAAAAAAATTTTTTAAAGCTTTTTTGCCTTTATTCAGATCTTCATAATTATACAAAATGATGCATATGAACACAATTGTTCTTTCTGATCGGTTTTCTTCAACATTTTCAAACCCCCTTTATCATAGTTCAAATATAGAATATTTCTTTTTATCTTATCATGTCCATTCCATATAAAATTAAAACATATCTTTTCAACTTCCTTGAAAACACTTGGTGGTACTGAAATTATGGAAGACACATATAGTAATTTAGAGATTGCAAAAACTTTAACCAATTGAATTTTCCCAAAAAGTGTTAAATCCTGTTGCTTCCACCACCCTAACAATCTTTTTATTTTGCTCAGTATTTCCTTATAATTCATTTCTTCTTCAACATTAATATATAAAGAAAAGTATATTCCAAGAACTTTTACCAGAGAAACCATCTTACCTAATGTTTTACCGGTCAAATTTTCATTACTGTGACCAGAAGAACCAAGCTTCATAATTTGTGTTTTGTCCCTATTAATTTTTAATCCAGATACCTGAGAGAAGGAATCTAATATTTTTTCTAAGATTTTCATGTCTTCTGTGTCTTTCAAAAAAATTGAACAGTCGTCCGCATACATTACTATCTTCGTCTGTATATTGCCTATCAAAATACCTTTTAATTTTTGTTCATTGCGAATAACCACTGCTAATGTTTCTATGATTAACAAGAATAAATATGGACTTAAGGGATCTCCTTGTCTTACTCCCCTGCCTATTTCAAAATAGCCTGTGGAAAAGCCCCCATTCATGACACAGCTAACTACATTTTTGTACAATACTTCTATCCATCTAAAAAATATGGGCCGAGACCATATTTTTTCAGTAAGAAATTCATATATGAGTTTGAGACAGTGTCAAAAGCTTTCTCGAAATCAACTGTTACTAGAAAACCCTGTACCTTGTATACCTGTGTGTAAAAAAAGACATCGTCAATAACTCTCACCGCTTCTCCTAAATTCCTACCAGGCAAAAATCCAACTTGATCTACATGTATCACCTCTTCCAATCCATTCTTTATTTTTTCCGCCAACACTTTAGACAAAAGTTTATAATCCACATTAAGGAGGGAAATTGGTCTGTAATTGCGAATATATAAAGGGTTTTTATCTTCTTTTTTTATTACCGTTATTACACCCTGTTTCTGTGTGGTGGACAATTCACCCTTTTCAAAGGAGGCATTGAAGGAGTCCAAAACAAGGTTCCCTATATCAGGCCAAAAAATGCGATAAAATTCCACTGACAAACCGTCATTCCCAGGCGATTTGTTTAAAGACATTTTATTTAACATTGAAGTACATTCCCCAAATGTAATTTTCTTATCACACGACTTCTTACTAGCTTCACTTATATTTAAGTGAGACATATTAAAAAAAAAATCATCTGTCCTATCCATCTTTTCATTTTCTGAGTATAGTTTATGATAAAAATGTTTAATTTCTTTTAAAATTGGTTTTGGATCAGATGTTTCTTCATTCCTACCATCTAATTGTAATTTGTCTATAAATATTTTTTTCTGATTGGATGCCAACAGTTGTTTAAAATAATTTTCATTGATTTCACTTTTTTAAACCATTTTGCACGCGATCTAACTTTCAACCCGACTACTTTCTGATCATATAACACTTTGAGTTCCTTTCTCTTTGACTCTAAATTTTGTAAGGTATCATTATCTGGAGAAATAACCAATGAAAGTTCAAGCTTCTGAATATCTCTCTGTATTTTGCGTAGGTTTTCCTTCGTTTCTTGTGCCCTACCTTTGGAATATTTCTTTGTTTTTTCATGAACTTTCATTTTAACGAAAACCCACAGGACTCTGGCGTCTGTAATATTTTTCTTCCCCTGATCTACGACAGATTTAATTTCTGCTCTCATATATTGAACATATTCTACATCTAAACACAGACTATTATCGAACTTCCAGTAAGATGGACCTATATTCTGAAAAAATTTATCACCCAAAGGCAAACCTAGATGGATGGCAGAGTAATCAGAAGCTATGGAGGGTATTATATTACACTCGGCAATTTGTTTCTCCAGTTCGTTTGAAACTATCCAAAAGTCTAACCTACTTCGAATTAAAGGGTTACTTTGTCTGTAAGTAAATTGAATCGTGTCTAGGTTTCTTTTCCTCCATATATCCAGCATATCAAACCTTCCAAGGAAATCCTCAAATTCTAAATTAAACTTGTGACCTCTAATACTCCCTTTACTTGAAATATCCGATTCAAAATTCCGAATCATTTTAGAGTCGCCACCAATTACCATAAGGGATTTGTTTAAATTGAATTTATTTAAGCGAACACTTAAATGATTTAAAAAATCTATTTGTTCCTGCTTTTTTTCTCGAACTGGAAAATAAACATTACAAATAATGTATCTTATGTTTTGTATCTCAATTTCTAAAATAATGTACCTCCCGTCTGAATCACAACACTAATACAAAGACAAAACATCACAACACAAACACACAAACAAAAACTAACCAAAAACACACAAAAACGTGGACACATCATAACGCACCGAAAGGAACCAACGGACCATTTTAAGTAACTTTTTGTTAACTTGCTGTACTCCATCCCCCTACTCTATAAAGTCCATACCACTTCTAACATATTCTCTCTTAAACATATTCTCTCTATATATTTAGGTTCTAATAAATTAATTTCAATGGGTAGCTTATAAGTATCCAGAAACAAAACAAGTCGTATGGACAATAACAGCTTTCTTGTGAAAAAAAGGAAAAAAAGAAAGAAAAAAAAAAGAAAAAAAAAGAAAAAGAGGACAACTGCTAATAAAAGTCTTCTTCTGAAATATGGAGACCTTTACCATAACAATTACTTTTTTTAAAAATAGTACAACTTTTTAAGTACGTAGAAATTGTAAATTAACAATAACACGAATATCAATTGAGAGCGCAATGAACCACATTCCAGACAATATCATTTGAGAAAATTTGGACACCATTCATTTCTTTATGACCACGTTTTGATACATTTCATTCAGAAGTATGAAAATTAATCATTAGATTGACCTAAATACATACTTTATTTCCTCTAAATAAACATTATAAGAAGTCATAAATTAGGTATGAAATGAAATCTTTCCCAACTGTCTCATTTCCAAACTGATTCATTTCACCTGTCTCTTTTCATCTTAAGCAACGAGAGTCGTAATATATTCAATGTAAACGACTTTCAAAAACATTTCATTACATGAGGTTAAAATCAATGAGTTTACATCTTGAATTGAACTAATTGAACTCATAATGTATATTAAAACTAGAGAGTGTTCAAGCATTATTGACATAATCTCTAAAAAGTTCACTTATATATTTTTCAAGTGGCATCAGTTCGTAAAAAAAAAAAAAAAGAAAAAGAAAAAAAAAATCCTAGTACGTTCAGTTCAGACCAAACTTCCAACACAATCTTGACGACCTAATTTCAT